GCCTGCTGTTTCGTGCGAGCTGTGAGCAGCCGCTCTGCAGGGAGGAGCCCAGGATGCTTGAGGGATCCAGGGGACGTGGTGGAGGAACGTCCCGGTCCCCAAGGCGGGGGGACGGCTGAGGAGGGGGGCTTTGAGTTTGCACTCAAAGTGAGGGGCTTCTTGCCCACAAGCTCCCTCTCTGAGCTCCCCTCCTCTGAGCTTTGGGCAAAGATGCACCCTGAATCGCAGCCCCATTCACGGAAATGGGAGGTGGGTAATGCTGGGGCCTGAGCCGCAGCGGTCGCGTGCAGGCTGCAAGGCACGGGGATGGGCTGCTTGCATCGCAGGTGGCCCCAGAAATGCCCGGCCGGTGCCAAGCAATGGCGTACCCTGTCTCTCCGAAGTGATGGGTATTTTGCAGTCTTGTCTGCGAAGGGTTTGGAGAGATGCTCACTCCCGGAACAGGACGTGGCTGAGCCTGTGTCTTGGGATGGAGACAACTCGGTCTGTTCTCCGCTCTGCAATAGATTGAAATAGGCCTCAAGGTCTTTGGTGACAAATAGCTTATTCCGCCTTCAGGGAGGAGGGCAGGATCCTGCTGCCCGTGCTAAGCTTTCCTCTGCGAGGGGGTCTATTACAGCCCGTAAAAGGGCACAAAATTGAAAAGCCCTGTGTGTGATGCAAGAGCTCCAGGTGAAAAGAGGAGTGGGCTCAGCTACTTACCAGGCTAATTTTAACCAGAAATGAAACGCAACAGAGTTGGGCCTGTAAGCCAATGTGTTTTTCATGCTGCTTTGCCTCCTCCTCATCTGCTGAGGTGGGCATGTGCCAAGCAAGGCCCTGCTTAATGAGCAAGCGTGGGCCAGCCCCCTCCGTGCGGGAATCTCAGCACTTCACTTTTGGAGGCCTGGCTGTTGATGCTGCTCAGTGTCATTTCTTGTTTCATGAAAATTTAATGTGCTCCGAGCTATTGTAAATTGTTATGATATGAGCGGATGACTGACAGCATATGCCAGCGCCTGTCAAGGCCTGAATCCTCCCTAGGTGGTTCTGTAAGTTGAAAGGCAGTTTCAGAGACCGCTTCTCATCTAGGAGCTGAGCTTGCAAATGTATTTGGTAAAGCTAAAAGTGTCTGGAAAATGTCCAAGTCCTCTTTAATTCCTTGAGTAAGAAAGGAATCTTTAATTGCAGAATAGTTAATAGCTGGAGAGAGGCGTTTTGTGCTGCCCTGGTTTCTGCCGGCAGGAGTCTGTGTTTTGCTTTGTGCTGGGGTGGATAACAGCCACCGGAGCGGAGGGACCCGGAGGAGGCAGGCAGGCAGGCTCCTTACGCAGTGCACCACAACAGCCTCGGTCTCCCCTGTTGCCCTTGTAGCAATTACTCCAAACTCTTCCTGCGGGCAGTGAGGATTGCAGCAAGAGTTGCCGGGAGCTGGGGCTGGCGAGCGTGCAGAAAGCCGCACGGGGCGTAGTGCTCGACCCGGTGTTTGTCCAAGCTTTGCTCCAGACTGCAGCTTCAGATACCGGCAAGCCTGATGCAGCTGTGGGATAGCTCTGGTGGGGGCTGTGTGGATGCTCTTAGTGTGCTTCAACCGAGAGGCGTGATTTCCCCGCGTAGGCATGCCCTTGCTCTCAGTGTAATGGGTCTGCTCGCGGACATTGCTATTTTTAGGCAGGAGGCCAGGGAGGTTGTGACTGGTGAGGATGCATCCTTGCCTCAACACATGCATGCACACCTGAGGCTGGGTGAATACTATGTAAGTTGTCCTGAGGATACCAAGACAGGTTTGGAGATGGATTTCAGTATGGCCTTGTTTTGAATAGCTGCTTAAATCTATCCTGATGTGAAGAAGCACCCTAGACCTTACGCATGTGCTTACGTTCAGGCGTGTGTTCGAATGCCTCTCTGAGGAGGGATGCTGTCCTGACACGTGCAGCCAGTTGGGGAGCAGAAATGCCACCAACATGACTGGTTGCTCCAAGCTGATATAAGGAGGGAAGGAGATCAGTCCTGAATTTTCCTTGAATGCTGCCTGGGGGCTGAAAAAAAAAAAAAAGGGGAAGAGACTGACTCAGTTGGGCCTTGCTCAGGGACAGTGCTCGGAGCAGGGCCAGTGGTCATACTTGGCCAGTGAGTTATTGCTTTCATTGCACTCGCTCTGCTTGAGCTCCTGCGTCCTGGCAAGGGAGACGAGGACGGTTGAGGGCTGCGTCGCGCAGAGGGAGCGGGGACGATGTGCGAAGCGTGGCTGAGAGCAGCGCGGATGCAGAGGCTGCCAGCCCGAATTAGGCTCTGGGTCGGTGCTGCTGCTGCTGCATTGCACGCGTGGCAG